AGTGCACGGGTGGGAGCAATTCAATTTGATCTTTGTATGCTCCATTATTCAAAGAAAGAGCAATGATAGTAATCATGCCACCCATAAATATCTCATCACCGAGACAGTTATCCCTAGTATCCAAGAGCCATTGGATGAAGGTGGAGGAGCATTGAAATTTTAGTCGTTAAGGATTATCGGCCAAGAATAAGCAAGCAACCTCGTCTTTTACCATGGAGCCGAGGTTGGCTATGAAGAACACGGCATATTGGAGAAGCCGTACAAAATACCTCAAGGCTATATGAATGATGTTGTTGACCTTTGAGGTATTGGTTTGAAACCTATCCTTGGTGGTGATACTCCTCCACCACTCTTGCTCGTTGTAAGGAATGCGATGAGAGGAGGTCATTTCAGACGGGTGATCAAGGCCGGTGGCATGCCAAAAGAAGATCTCATTTAGATCACTTTCCGTTAAAGAGTGATCCTTGTTGAACAATCTGAAGTGAATCATGAGTTGAGGATCCTCATCGACATCTTCCGGCTCATAAACTTCCTTGCGAAGAGAGGCAAGGAATTCCAAAGTATGAAATCATAAAATGGTAACATGAACACCCAACTCATGCATTTCTCAATCATAAAATGGTAACATGAACACCCTAGTATGAAATCAACAATCTTAAGCAAGGACATTGAGATCAAAATAAAACCAAGGCAAACATGCATAATCATCATAACAATATGTTCTACTATCAACAACCAATCAATTGCAACAATTCAATCCAAAGAACCACATGAATCAAACAAGTTATTACTAACAATTTCAAGAATACCACAATTCATACTTAAATATGTAAAACATGGCAAAACTATAAGAAATTGAAGAAATAAACTGTAAAAGCTAGGGAAAACATACCACAATTGATTGGAAGCAAGTAAAAACCCAAAAACACCAAAGCACGTAAACCCTTGAAATTGGGGAAAATGAAAAGATGGGTTTTTTTGTGAGGAATTTTTGGTGGAGATTGTAGAAATGGAGTAGAGGATGGAAAATAAGTGAGAAAGGGTGAAGATTGGAGTGATTTTGATGGAGATTTGAGGTTGTAAGGGGAGGTGTAATGGAGGTTTAGAGTGAGAAGGAGGGTCACGAAAATATAGCAGCATAAAACTTATGGCAACAGCATTTTTTTTTTTTTCTGAAGAATGGTTCGGCCGAACCAAGGGTATGTTCGGTCGAACCACAGTGAAACTTCGGTCGAACTCCCCTTTAGTTCGGTCGAACCATGGCCAAAACTTAATTTTCTGAAATTCGGGCAGAAAGTTCCAGCAAATTCGCAAAAATTGAGGAGTGACCGGACCCAGGAAATTTCGGCCGCACTATAGTATAAGTTCGGTCGAACCATCCAGGGGTTTGGTCGAACCTATGCTGAAACTTCAAGTTTGCAAATTCTGGCAGAATGTTGCTGAAATTTTCTAAAAATTGAGGAGTGACCGAACCTAGGAAAGTTCAGCAGCACTACAGTATAAGTTCGGTCGAACTATCCTTAAGTTCGGTCGAACCTTCTGCCATAATGCAAAATTTTTGTTCTTGGCAGAATGTTGCCATAAATCCTTGAAAATGCTACAGTGGCCAAACATAAAGTGGTTTGGCCAAACTCCCATAAAGAATCACGCAAGTAAAAATAGTCCTTAACACACATCTAAACGCCATACAATCATGCTAGATGCAAAGCCTATCAAAAACCCAAACACAATCAAAACTCAAAAATCCAACAATCCAAAGTTCTAGATGGAAAAATAGAAGCAACATGAGAAGAAAAAGTAGAAAAAGGGTTAGAAACTCGGGTTGCCGCCCGGAAGCGCTTTTGGTTAACGTCGTTAGCTCGACGTTCCTTGAGTTGATCAAGGAGGGTCGAATTGATGATGCACATCAAGAAGTGTCATAGAAATCGGTTCATCACTTGGGAATCCTTCATAATAGGGCTTGAGACGGTGACCGTTGACTTTGAAAGGAGAGTGGCCGTCTTGGGAGATTTCGTAGGCTCCATATGGAAACACTTCCGTGAGAATGTACGGCCCACTCCACCTTGACCTAAGTTTTCCCGGGAAAAGCTTCAAGCGGGAGTTGAATAGGATGACTTTTTGGCCTTTGACGAAATCCTTCTTGACAATTTGAGCATCATGCCAAGCCTTAGTCCGTGCCTTATACATGCTTGTGCTATCGTAGGCATTCATCCTCAACTCCTCTAACTCATGTAGCTCTAGAAGCCTTTGCTCACCCGCACTATGGAGATCAAAGTTGATTTGCTTGATTGCCCAATGCATTCGATGATCCATCTCCACGGGCAAATGACAATTTTTCCCATAGACAAGCTTGTAGGGAGTGGTCCCTATTGGAGTTTTGAAGGCGGTCCTATAAGCCCATAGTGAATCAATGAGTTTGGAGGACCAATCCTTCCTTGTCCTAGCAACCGTCTTCTCCAAAATCACCTTGAGCTCTCTATTGGTGACCTCCGCTTGACCACTCGTATGAGGGTGGTAAGCAAGCCCTCGCTTGTGAGACACCCCATACTTATCAAGTAGTCGAACAAAGGTGTGGTGCTTGAAATGCGATCCCCCATCACTAATTATTGCTCTTGGAACACCAAATCTCGGGAAGATCACTTTCTTGAAAAGATTGACCACCACCTTAAAGTCATTCGTTGGAGAAGCCACGGCCTCCGCCCACTTAGACACATAGTCAACGGCGACCAAAATATACTTGTTCCCATGTGAAGAAATGAAAGGGCCCATGAAGTCTATAGCCCACACATCAAAAACTTCAAGCTCAAGGATGGGGTTTTGGGGCATTTCATCCCTTCTACAAATATTCCCCATCCGTTGACATCTATCACAAGTCTTGACAAATATCCAAGCATCCTTGAATAGAGAAGGCCAAAAGAGCATAGATTGAAGGACCTTTGAGGCGGTCTTTTGAGCACTCATATGCCCACCACAAGGAGAAGAGTGGCACATATGGAGAACACTTTAAACCTCGTCGTTGGGGACGCATCTCCTCAACTAACCATTGACCCCTCTTTTCAATAAAATGGGATCATCCCAAATGTATCTCTTGGCCTCGTGCTTGAGTTTTCGACGTTGTTGCGAAGTGAAATCCGGCGGTATGGCACTACAAGCTAAGTAATTCACAATATCCACATACCACGGCTCCGATTTCACTTCAAGGACATATAGAACATCATCTCTTATAGTGTCCTCTATTGGCAAGCCATCATCTTCAAACCTTGCACCGCCCAACCTTGAGTGGTGATCCGCCACCACATTCTCGGCTCCCTTCTTATCTCTCATCTCATAATTGAAGTCTTGGAGGACTAAAACTCATCTCAACAACCTTGGTTTAGCTTCCTTCTTCCCTATCAAATATTTGAGAGCCGAGTGGTCGGTATACCCAATTGTCTTAGAACCAATGAGGTAGGTTCTAAACTTCTCGAATGAATGGATAACCACTAGGAACTCCTTCTCGGTAGTTGTGTAGTTTCTTTGGGCATCATTGAGAGTTTTTGACAAATAATGTATGACATGAAGTTTCCCATCCTTTCGTTGTCCAAGAACCGATCCAATGGCCTCGTCGCTTGCATCACACATGAGCTCAAATGAAAGAGACCAATCCGGACCTTGGACAATTGGAGCGGTGCAAAGGGCTTATTTCAACCTACAAAAGGAGTTATGACAAGCATCATCAAACACAAACTCCTTACCTTGTTGCAATAGGGATGTGAAGGCTTAGCGATCATTGAAATATCTTTTATAAAGCGCCGATAGAACCCGACATGGCCAAGAAAAGACCTCACTTCCCTCACGTTGGTGGGAGGAGGAAGCATCATCAAACACAAACTCCTTACCTTGTTGGAATGTTACGGGGGCATTACAAATCCCAAAAGGCATCCTACGATACGCATAAGTACCGTAGGGGCATGTGAAAGTCGTCTTCTCTTGATCCTTGGGGTCAATCGGGATTTGGAAAAATCCCGAGTAACCATCAAGGAAACAATAGAAGGAATGCTTTGTAAGCCTTTCCAACATTTGATCAATGAACGGTAGTGGAAAATGATCTTTGCATGTACTTGTGTTAAGTTGGCGATAGTCAATACACATGCGCCAACCGGTAACAAGTCTAGTGGGTACTAGTTGATCATGATAATTTTTCACTACCGTCATGCCCCCTTTCTTAGGCACAACTTTCACGGGAGATACCCAATCACTATGAGCAATTGGGTAAATAATTCCCGCATCAAGAAGCTTAGCCACTTCCTTCCGCACAACCTCTTGCATGGAAGGGTTAAGCTTTCTTTGCCTTTGCCTAACGGGTTTGGCATCTCCCTCTAGATCAATTTTGTGCATACATAAAGATGGACTAATACCTTTGATATCATCAATGGTATAACCCAAAGCTTTCTTGTGTTTTCTCAAAACATTGATTAAGAGGGAGGTTTGCTCCTCCGTTAGGTCAGAATTTACAATCACGGGGAAAGACTCATCGGGACCAAGAAATGCATACCTCAAGACCAAAGGTAGAGATTTCAAGTCTACCTTTGGTTCTCCCTTACCATTGGGGCTCTCTTCACTTTCTTCAACTTGAAAGAGGTCATGAATGTAAGGAGCCTCTTCTTCCATGCTCGCGCCCTTGCACTCCTTCTTGCTTTCCTCAAGCAAATCCTCATAGAATTGTATGTCTTCTTTGTGAGTACCTATCTTTGATTCATTCAACAACACACTTTCAAGAGGATCATAAGTATCATGCAAGTGGGAGCGAGAAAATTCATTAAGAACGGTATCAAGAACATCTACCCTAAAGCATTCACCACTTGAGGAGGGTTGTTGCATGACATTATTCAAATCAAACTCAATAGAATCATTGTCAATTTTCAAGCATATCTTCCCCTCCTTCACATCAATGATAGCTCTAGAAGTAGCTAGAAATGGCCTACCCAAAATTATAGGAATCCTCTCATCCTCATCCATCTCTAGCACATAGAAATCCACGGGGAATGTGAACTTTCCTCCCTAAGGGGAATGTCCTCAACTTTGCCCATGGGGAACTTAACGGAACGGTCCGCTATTTGGAGAGTAATGTTAGTGGGAGAGAGGGTTCCTACACTAAGCTTTTGGTAGACGGAATAGGGCATGAGACTCATACTTGCTCCTAAATCATACAAGGCTTTATCAAATTCAATGCCATTGATAGAACAAGGGATGGAAAAGTTACCCGGATCTTTCAATTTGGTAGGTAGTTTGTTGGAAAGAATTGCACTACAATTGGCGGTCAAACTCACCATCTCACACTCCCTTCTCCCACTCAAAAGATCTTTCAAAAATTTGGAATAGTGGGGCATTTGCTTCATAGCATCAACAAAAGGGACGAAAATATTCAAATTCTTAATGAGTTCCAAAAACTTCCCAAATTGGGCATCAAGTTTAGCTCTCACAAATAGTTGTGGAAAGGGTAGCTTTTCCTCTCTAGGTTGGCGATTTAGGGGCAAGGGGGTGGCTTCTTTTTCCTTGGGCACCTCAACATGTTTTTCCTTTTCAACACTCAATGGCTCATTGGGTTTTTCACCCTCATTCTCTAGCTCCACCTCTTCTTGGGGTTCTTCCTCAATTAAAGGGTCACTCCCTACTACCTTCCTACTCCTAGTTGTCACGGCATACAAAGGTTTTGAGTTGACTCCTTGACTTGGGATGTGAGAAGAAGAAGAAGAAGAAGAAGAAGAAGAAGAAGAAGAAGAAGAAGAAGAAGAAGAAGAAGAAGAAGAAGAAGAAGAAGAAGAAGAAGAAGAAGAAGAAGAAGAAGAAGAAGAAGAAGAAGAAGAAGAAGAAGAAGAAGAAGAAGAAGAAGAAGAAGAAGAAGAAGAAGAAGAAGAAGAAGAAGAAGAAGAAGAAGAAGAAGAAGAAGAAGAAGAAGAAGAAGAAGAAGAAGAAGAAGAAGAAGAAGAAGAAGAAGAAGAAGAAGAAGAAGAAGAAGAAGAAGAAGAAGAAGATGCAAGTTCAGCAATTTGGGTCTCAAGCATTTTCATATGAGCATTGGTTCGTTTTTGGGCCTCTTCATGTTTCTTTTGATCCTCCTCGCGCATTTTTAAAAGAGCATCTAATTTAGCCATCACGGGATCTATTAGAGGAGCTTCAAGTTGAAGAGGTTGTTGAGGTGGAGGAAGTTGGGGTTGATGGAAACCCGGAGGCCTATTAGTTTAGGCATAGTTAGAAACAAATTGGCCCCTATTCCCTGCGGTGCCTTGGTTAGGAACATTGCTTTGTTGATTATTTCCCATGTTACCTTGGTCACCAAAATTTTGATTTTGATGGTCATGGTATCGGGAATTAGGTTGTTGGTTTTGATTACCATACCCCCTTTGGTTAGAGTAGCCTCTTCCATTAAAATTGGAAGGGCCTCCCCCACCATGGTATTGGTTATCATAACCACCACCACTTTGGTTCCAACCACGGTTTCCACCTTGATTCCAATTCCCCATTTTATTGGAGTTTGGCTTCAAGTTTCCTACATTTCCCATTCTAGGAGCAAAATTCATAGCATTGAGATTTTCCATGTTACCATCATGTTCATGGGAAGGGGGTTGAACTTCACAAGAATATACACAATGAGAGGTATCATGATCATAGGTTTCACAATTAGAACAAAACATGCATCCTTAGGGCATTGTATTGTAAGAAGAGGGGGAGGAAGTATCCATACCATTGCCTCCCTTGGTTGAAGGGGAGGTATTACCATGAGGGTTGGACCTTTCTTTCATCAATTCATCCATTTGCTTGGTCATTTTGGAGATTTGGGTAGAAAGGTTGTTGATTGTGTTGGCCTGCTCCAATGCATAAACACCCTTACTAGAAGTAGCATCCCTTTCTCCTTCGTACCAATCATCATAGTGCTTTGCGGCCTCCTCTATAATACACTCCACTTCATTCTCTCCTTTGTTCATGATTGTACCACCGGCCGCGGCGTCTAGGCTTGTTCTTCCTTGAGGTGTGAGACCTCCATAGAAAGTGTGAATGAGTTGATACTTGGGTATCCCATGGTGTGGGCATTGAAGCTGAAGCTCTTTGTATCGTTCCCATGCCGCACTTAGAGACTCACCACTCTTTTGGCGAAAACCTTGAATCAAAGACCGAGCCTCGGCGGTCTTCCTATCGTTATAAAACCTTCTCAAGAAAGCCGTAGTCACTTGGTCCCATGTTGTGAGAGAATTAGGGGGCACCTCCTTCTCTAGCCATTCTAGACCTCTCCCAGTTAGCGAAAATGGAAACATTTTGAGGCGAATATATTCTTAAGTCACTCCATTGGCCTTTATTGTGTCACAATATTTCTCAAACTCTTTTAGGTGCTCATGAGGAGTCTCAAACTTTCCACCCAAGAATTGTTTCCTCTCAATCAAGGCAATCAAATTAGGCTTGATCTCGAAATTGTTGGCTTGGGAGTAGGAGTTAGGATCCCACTTTGCACTCTAAAAGCTTCGGGGGCCCCAAGACGACTCAAAGGCGTATTCTCTCCCATTTTAGAACCTTCTTCACTCTCAAACTTATAGGTTGAGAAAGGGTTGATTTCTTAACTCGAAGATGATTTAGGGCTATCTAACTCTTCACTTGAGGGTGAAGAGGGTGAAGTATCTTCTAATTCTCTTACTCCTCTCGTTGAAGTGTGGGAATTTCTACTCCTCGCTCTTGCTTATCTTCGAAGTAGGGACAAAGACCTCTCTAGCTCTGGATCGATGGGAATCAAAGATCTTGAGCGGGTTCGTCCTCTGTTCATACAACAAAACTAAGAAGAATGTAAGCACTGACAAGTAACAAAAGTAGCAAACACTAACAAATAAAGATGAGATAGTCTCAAACAAGCAATGAAATAGCAATGGAACTCGTCTCCCCAGCAACGGCGCCAATTTGACAAGGCAATAATCGTGTCGTTGAGCGACTACACCTAAATCAAATGAATTTATAACGCTCTACTGACCTAATACGTGTATAGGGTAAATAGAGGGGTCGAACCCCACGGAGAAATGCTTAAGCACTGCATTCATTACCTAGGGTCTAAGCTATCTCGGAACAAGAAGTGTGAATAACTAAAAGGTTAAACTAAGAACGAAATGGATTAATATTAATATAGCTAGGCACCAAGGGAAATGGGTAGGTGAAGTTGACGCTTGATCATGCAATAACAAAGTAGCATATCAATGGTAAACTAAACATGCATGAATACCGGAGTAAGGGGGTCCAATCTAACCGCCTTCCGGGGTTAATTGGTTTCTCCTAACATAGCCTCTATGTTTCCACATTAGAACCATATATTAGAAGGTGCAAACAAAGAATTATCGATAGTAATGAATCTCAACTAAGTCAACTTCCGTTACTTGTTAGTAAAGGCTCATCTTTGATCAACTAACAATGTGCACTTGCAAGAAAGGCGAAAGAATATCAAGCATGCAAAGACTTTAATCACCATTAACATAACCCCAACATTAAAATCATGAACAATTAGCAACTACACCATCCCCACACCCTTGGCTAGGTGACTACTCACAAATCATGTTGAAAACAATATCAATCATCAAATCAATAAGCATCAACATGATTAATAAGCAAAGAAGAAAAATCAAATCAAATAAGCAAAATCAAAAACAAAGGTAAGAGAAATAGTAAGAAATTCCTCATTAATTGAAGATGAAGGTCTACAAAGGATTGAACAAACTCCTTCTTCAAAATCCAAGTTCATCAATGAAGAAAACCACACTTTCTCTCTCTACCAATGAACACTAATAGTGTTTCTCTCTCTAGATTAAGCTAAATGTAGAAAAATTAAAACTAAGTTAATCTAATCTCTCCAAACGTTCTAAGATGGGACTTATATAGTCCGTACAGAGCCAGCTGATAAAAGGAAAGGTCCGACCGAACAATGGGAAGGTTCGGCCGGACTACAGGGTAGGTTCGGCCGCACTACAGGGTAGGTTTGACCGAACCATGGGTAGGTTCGGTCGAACCTCCCTGATCCTGGTCTGGTCGAACTCCTGTGGTTCGGCCACTCCTACAAAACTGCCAAATTTCATCTTGTCCCTGCCTCAACGTTCGGCCGAACCACTGAGCAGGTTCGGCCACACCTTGGTCTGGCCACACCTTCAGGAGGTTCGGCCGAACCTCTTCTGAATCATGCTTCCTCCAGCTTCCCTTGAGCTTAGTTTCCTCCTCTTGAAAATCCCGATGGTTCCTACAAAGCATAAGCATGAAAATCACAATAAGAACAAAGCGAGAAGACTAAGAAAAAGGGAAGATAAAGGAGAAAGAAAAGAGGAAGCACAACTAAGTAAAAATGCTTAGAAAAAGGGCCAAACAAGTGCAAATGAGGGGAGAATCCTTATAGAAAAAGGATAAAAGAGTGGCATAAATGCCACTCATCAATCTTACGTTGGAGGATTAGCTAGTTTTAATCACACTCATTGTCGTTTATTTTGGTTATGTTTTTATTTGATAATGAGCCTATTTAATTTCGATTAAACCATTAGGGTTTTTAATGGTTGATGTTTTTATTATATTCAATAAGTGATTACCTACTTAATTTCACTCATCTATGTCTTATTTTTTTCGTAATAACATAGTGTACATTTTTTATGTTGTTATCTAATAATAATTCTAATTTAATAACGAAAAATAACAATGGAATAAAAAAGTTTTCATCCAGATTGTTTTCAATGAAATAAATACAATTACGGTAGTTATCCCTTAAAGTGTGGCATGTATCACCACATTAGCCGAAAAATAAGGAGTACATTATCATCTATTTTTTTGTATAGATTTTATTTTTCAATTTATTTACTATAAATAATCTAGCAGTTATATAAATTAAGTTGGTTACATTGCTCATTATATTTTGAAATATTATCTTCCCATATTAATATGTAAACTCTTATACTTTAACTTTTTATAAAATAATAAAGGATCATATCTCAGCATAAAATTATAGTGAAGGTGAATCAAATTCGAGAAACGGCAATATAGATAATGATGTTATTTTGTGGATATATTTCGAATATCATATTTTTTTGAAAAGGTAATAACATATAATCGGTAAATCGGTAAATCAAATAATGGTACTTGTAAAAGATATTTACAAAATCTTTACAATATGTTTATGTACATGTGTTTTTTTTTTTGGTATACACTGTTGGCCATAATTATAGGCGCTCAATATGGTTAATGAATACAATGACCGTTTATAATTATAGTACGCACATATAAATTACATTTATGTTCATACCATGTCATAGAAAAACTGAAATCATCCCAAAAGATGAATATAAATATATTGATTGTTGGAATTTATACATTAAATAATTGGTCAAAAAAATAGGTATTGATATAACAACTTGTAAGTTAATCCATATAACACATTTTGAACATTTTAAGATGAACGAATACTCTTACAAACACATATTACAGTTTATTGGTGTTGATATACATATAAATAGGTGATGACTTTAATAATTTGATTTATATTCTATGTTTTATTTTTTTCGTAATAACATAATGTACATTTTTTATGTTTTTATCTGATAATAATTCTAAGGAAAATTTTTAAATTACCACCCAAAAATGTATCCATTTTTAAAATAACCAGCCGTTTATTTTTTTTATTTAATTTTACCACCTCCTAAATTAAAAAACTACTTAGATTACCACTCATTGCAAAATTCTAGTGGATTTCTGGTATGTATACCTACCTAATGGCTAAAAACGGCTATGTCTAAGCATTACAATCAACCATGTCTTCACTCCACCTCCCCTTTAAACCAGTTTATTAAGTACAAGACAACCTAAAACCAAAAGAAAACAACTAAAAAATCAAGAGCTTGTTATCTGAATTGCCACTACTACTGATCATATTTTTCTTGTTACCACTAAGAATCATTACGTGGGGCCCACATAAGAGAAATCCACCGAAATTTTGAAATGGGTGGTAATCTGAGTAGTTTTTGAATTTAAGGGGTGGTAAAATAAAAATAAAAATTTAACGGGTGGTAATTTTGAAAATGGATACATTTTTAGGTGGTAATTTAAAAATTAACCTAATTCTGATGTAATAAATAAAAATAACAATGGAATAAAAAAGTGTTCTTCAAGATTGTTTTCAATCTTTCAATCTATTTACTATTACAAATCTAGCAGTTATATAAATTAAGTTTGTTATATTGGTTATTATATTTTGAAGGATTGTCTTCCCAATTAATACTCTAAATTTTTCGTAATATAATAAAAGATCATATCTCACAATAAAATCATAGTAAAGTATAATCAAATTCGAAAATCAACAATGATATTAGTTTTGGTTATACATAGGTGATTATATTTTGAACGATTTCGAATATCATTTTGTTTAAAAAGGTAATAATATAAAATCATAAACCAAATTATTGTACTTGAAAAAAAAAATTAAAAAATGATAACAATATATTTAAGTACATGTATTATAAAAAAAAACTAATAACTATATACTAAAATTTTGAAATGCATTCATGGTTGGAATTTCTAGATTAAATAATTTTTTAACAAGGCATAGGTAATTACATAAACACTTTTAAGTGAATGCATGTACTTCACTTACATATTTTACTATGAATTAATTCTCTAACAAACACATTCATATTATAATTAATTGGAACTGACATACATATGTGTAGACACCTAAAAATGTCTCCCCAAAACCAAACCCGATGATGAACATTTCATCGCCATTATTGGTCGGGTTGAGTAATTAATCTTGGAGTACTTAAATCCATATTTACATTTCATAAAACAACCCAGTTCCTAGCCCATTTCCCCAAACTATAACTTATTTTCCTCTTTATGTTCCTTTAAACCCAAAATAATTCATTTCGTGTCCTTTAAAATCATTCATTTCGTGTCCTTATTATAAAAACATTTAATACAGTTTATTTTGGTCCATAATCGGGATATAATGATTTAATAATTGGATGGGGCTTTAAAAGATCTTTCCAACGATATATTATAAACCCAAATCCGAGTTATAACGAATAAGTTATAACCAAAATATTAAACTAAACCCAAACCGAACCTAAGCTCACCTTACCTACGAACCAATGATTATGTGGAGGGTCCAAATTATTTAATCCCATTATTAAACCAATTAGGATTAATTGGAAGCTTCTATAAGTTTCTAAAATATCTTAATTATCCTTTTTGAAAAGATAAGATTAAAGAGTTTGAAATTGAATAAAACTTTTCTTTTCGAAAGTCCTAATTC